AATATTTTTTTTTGTACCAGGCTGTTTATTTCTGTTGTAAAGTTTTGCATTTCAACATAGACTGAACTGCAGTTTTGGCACTTCTGCATTGGCTTTGTCTTTCCGCCTTGCAGATTGCTGCTTGGTTTTAACATCACCTGGTGGTGAAGAGCTTTGAAAGTGAGGAGGAGGATTTTAAAGTTGATGCGTTGTTTGATGGGGAGCCAATGGAGGGAGTGGAGAATGGGAGTGATGTGTTCACGGGACCGGGAGTGGGTAAGGAGGCGGGCAGCAGAGTTTTGAACCATTTGGAGTCTATGGAGGGAATGGGAGGTGATGCCAGTGAGGAGGGAGTTGCAATAGTCGAGGCGGGAGGAGATGAAGGCGTGGATGAGGGATTCAGCAGCAGGGGGAGAGAGGCAGTGTCTGATTTTGGTGATGCGGCGGAGGTGGAAGTAGGAGGTCTTGACGATGGAGCTGACATGGTGATTGAAGGAGAGGGTGGGGTCCAGGATAACGCCGAGATTACGTGCCAGGGGGGAGGGGGTGATGGTAGAGGTGCCGATAGTGAGTGAGATGGGTCCAGTTTTGTTGAGAGTGGATTTGGTGCCTATGAGGAGGAGCTCTGTTTTGTCACTGTTGAGTTTGAGGAAGTTATGAGTCAGCCATGTTTGTATTGTAGAGATGCAGGTTTCGATGTGGGTGAGGGGAGGGTTTTGGGTGGGTTTGGTGGTGATGTAGATCTGGGTGTCGTCAGAGTAACAGTGGAAGACCAGGTTGAGTTTGCGGATGATGTGACCAAGGGGGAAGAGGTAGCAGATGAAGAGGAGGAGGTCGAGGACTGAGCCCTGAGGGACCCCCTGCGTAACTGGGGAGAGGGTGGATGTGTGGCCAGAGAGGGAGACGAACTGTTGCCTGTCGGTGAGGTAGGAGGTGAGCCAGTCGAGTGCAGTGCCCTCAACACCCTGTTGGCGCAGCCTTTGTAGGAGGATGGAATGGTTCACTGTGTCAGTTGCTGATGGTGGCAGTCAGGGAGCTGTTGATTTGAGAGATTGACGGTGGAGAACAGGATGGTTGGTGCTGTTGATGAGGGTGGAAAAGTGGGCGGATTTGGCATCTTGGAGAGCATCACGGTAGGAGGAGATGTGTTGTTTGTAGGCTTCGGCGTGAATGGTGAGGCGGGTTCGTTTGTATAGTCGTTCGAGTTGACGGCCAGTCTGTTTCATGGTGCAGAGTTCCGGGGTGTACCAGGGGGCGGGGTTGGTGAATGAGACAGAGGAGGTTTTCCAGGGGGCTAGGGAGTTGAGGGAGTCAGAAAGGATGGAGTTAAGCATGATGGCATAGTCGTCGGGGGAGGAGGGGGCAGAGTCAGGGGGAAGGCAGAGGAAATGAGCTGGGAGAGCGTGGGTGGATTGACTGCCTTGATGTTGCGGTAGGAGATGGTTTTGCGTTTTTTGGGATTATGGGGTGAGGGTAGAGGGGCGGAGAAGAGGATGCAGAGATGATCAGAGAGTGGGAAGGGGAGGGGATGGGGGTTAGAGATGGGTAGGAAGGAGGAGCAAACTATGTCCAGAGTGTGGCCTTTGGTATGGGTGGGGAAGTCGATGTGTTAGGTAAGGTGGAAGCAGTCAAGGAGAGAGAGGAAGTCAGACGTCAGTGGGGCGTTGGGCTGATCAATGTGGATGTTGAAGTCACCGGTAAGTAGGAGGCGGGAAGAGAGAGAGGATGCAATAGTGAGGAGTTCAGACAGTTCAGAGAGAAAAGAGGGGTGTGGCTTCGGGGGACGGTAGATTAGAACAGTGGTGATAGAGTTGGGGAGGGAGAAGGCGAGGTGTTTGAAGGATGAGATAGATGGGAGGTTGAGGTTCAGTTCAGTGATGGGTAGGGATTGTTTGTGAAGGACAGCAACACCTCCCCCTCGCCCGGAGAGGCGGGGTTTGGCGATGTAACTGTAGTTGGAGGGAGTGGCTTGATTGAGAGCGTAGAAGTCCAGGGGCTGCTGCCATGTTTCACAGAGGAGAAGCAGGTCAATGTTATTGTCCAGTAGCAGTTCAGATAAAACAGGTGATTTGTTGGAGAGGGAGCGACAGTTCAGCAGTGCCAGGGAGATGGATGGGGGAGCCGGGGGGGGGGTGGAGGTTGTTGGGGTTGGCAGTGCGGTAGGTGGGGATGACGGGGGGGCGAGAGTTAGTCCAGAGTAAAGGGATAGGTGAGCCATCAGGGAAGTGTCGGTTGCGAGAGGACCAGAACCTCGGTGGATGTAGCGGCGTCGGCAAAGGATCCCAGCTTTGCTAGCTGCGGTGGCAATCCAAGGGGGAGATGAGACGTGACAGCAGATGAGAGTAGTCCGGGTAGTATATTAGCAGTGGCTAGTAGCTGATTAGCTAGAAGCTGGTAGGCAGTGAGTTGTGTGGAAGCAGCAGTGGACCAGGTGTTGAAGTTAGTGAAGTGAGTGATGTTAGTTGCCCCAGACCGTACCCACACGGCAGGCAAGCCCCGCTGTGCCATGTCGGCACTCAGCTAGGCCACAGCAGACGAGCTGGCAGGGAGTGGAGGCTCCCCCCGAGAACGTCGGCTGGATAGCCAGACAGCTGGGCTAGTGTTGTCGGTGAGGCACGCAACAGGTCAGTCCGGGTTGGCACAATCACCACCACAAACACACAACATATTCACCCAAGCCCAGAGCAAGTGATCACACACTCGAAGCCGGGAGACAGATGGATCCAGTGGTGGTGAAGTTTAGCCAGCTGTTAGCTAGCTGGCTAACATAGCTAATAGTCCAGGAGTAATGGAACAGATGAGTGGGAATGGAGAGGAACTGGAGAGAAGCACGGTGGGCTGGAGAAGCACGGAGACTTACTTAAACAGGTAAAGTAACAGAGACGCGGAGATAAAACAAAAGACGAGCACACAAAACGTTAGACACGGTCCGGGACAGAAGCGACAGTCAACAGTCCAGACGCCGGCGTTGCTCTAACCCAGATGTAACCTGGATGTAAACCAGCAAACACGAAGTGTTGAGTTGAGTAGAGCTGTACAGCACAATGCAGTGGAAATGCAGCATAACTGTCTGTCTGCTGTTTGCTGCTGAGCACGTAGTGTACGCTGAATTTTTACAGCTTTTTCTCTGTAAACAGCTGCCTGCTGTGGCTGAAAACAACACTATGAGAGTGGTGAGAGGGAACCAGAACTGTAAGGTTGTGCGCCAGACAGCTAAACAATGAACTGAAAATCACAATGAGGCTGTGTAAAGCTGAGTGGAGCTATAGATTCATGTGATGGATCCCTGTTGGTTCATCACTGTAAATACCTTTCACATTGTCACATTGTCATTTGATGCACTGTTATTAAAAAAATAAAGTTTATGCTCCACTGAGAAAAGGGATTGCTGACATTTTGAGACTCCATACATTTTTACAGTCATAACTGATGACTAACTGTGAATCATCATTAAAACCCAAAAAACAGTCTCCAAAGTTTTGTAATTTGAGTAAGACCTCAGCAGCAGAGGGTTTGGTTCTAGTTCCTTCTTGCTTGTTTCATATCTTGCAGGGTTTACCCATGGGCAGCTGAGAAAATGTGCTTACAGAATGAAAGTAATGAGCTTGAAAATAATTAAACTGGGGAAGCAGTTTTCAAACTGGGAGAAAGGGTTTTCCTGGATTCTTTGAAAGAGTTCCAAGGAAGTTCCAGCAAACCCAGAAGAAGGTAACTGAGTAATAGCTATGTTTCTGAGGTGGAAAATGATGTTTTCGTCACCTTGTTAATGTGGGACTTGAGGACTTGACTTGAAGATTAGTGTGGGACCAAAAAACCCACAGTGATGGTCAGATATTGGTAGCTCAGATACCTAGAGTGTTGCCATGTTGATGAGTGGCATTATTTACATGTTAAGTTCAAAGCTGTCAAGTAGATTCAGAAACTCAGTAGCTGTGGAGTTCGTTTTGTTGATGTGAATGTTCAGGTCTCCATTCAAGATTTATCTATCATATCTAGTGATACTTAGTGAGATCAGCGATGAGAATTCCTGGAGCAATACTGATGAATATTTTGGTGGTCGATATAATGTAATGATGAGCACTGATAACACTGCTTTGACCTCAAGTGCAAGGTATTCAAAAGATGTAAAAGGTCAATGTCATTACACAAAAACTGTGTAGAAAAGATAGCTGCAATCCCCCCTCCTTTCCTGATTTGTCTGACTGACTGATGAAATTTATAGTTTGGAGGACACGCTTCAATCAGTATTTCTACACCAGTAGTGCTGTTTAGCAAGGTCTCAACTAAAAACATTAAATGCAAATTCTTTTCGGTTATCAAATCATTAACCAAGAAGGATGTGTACATCAATGATCTGACATTAAGTAGAGCTCATTTCAGCTGTAGGGATTCTGTGACAGCAAAGGAGACTGGTTGTAGCTGGACACTGACAAATTTAGAATTTCTGAAAGAGGTACCAGATGGTCTGTGATTTCTATGATGTGTCCGACCACCATGCCACTGGCTGTTTAGGATCACCGGTATGCTGAAGGGATGTTCAGAGGGCCAAGGAGACCTTGAGTGGATTCCAGGTTATTTTTGATCCTTGAGGAGTTGATTGAAGGGGCTCCATGGGTACAAGATTCCAGGGTGCCACAAGCTGCTTGCTGAGTGTAGGGCCCCTGAGGGAGAATGTAGTAATCAAAAGTCAGGAAGTCCAGGATCCTTTAGGGAGGAAGTTTGTTTAAGAAACATCCTTGATGTGATTCAGAGTGTCCTAAGGCCCAGATACACCATACCGACATCACAGAACTAGTGGCGACAAAGGCCCCCTGCTGCTGCGCCTGATGTTGGTGTGTCTCACCCCAAAAGTTGCACGTGAACACACCATAAAGACTGCGGCTGATGGTCAACCAGCACGTATATCCTGCGCCTCCACAAGAGGTACAGAGATATAATCCTCATCCAAAAAAGGGAAGCCAGAAGACCACCTTGAGGCTAGTTAGCCAGTTAGCACATTAACAACACAATCCAATGTTGAAAGAACAGAGCATATTTATTGTGGCAGGACGGCACAGCCCGTCTCCACTCATGTTGTGTATGTGCTGGGTCAGGTGGATAGCTGTGTAGGCTCGCCCCTTTGCTCCCCGCCCATTGAGTGACACTGGGCTGGGAGCAATTATCCAATTTCACCAGCGTACTGGGCGAGGCCAGCCAAAGCTATATATGGGGGAGAGCTGCGCCTCTCAGATGTGCGTCCCCCCACCTTATCCGGAAACCTGAGCGTGTGTGTCGGCAGTGTGGTTTGGCGTGGCAGAATTTGATCCACGTGGCTGTCTTGAGACGCAGGTCGGCGCGTCTCCTCTGCTCACTTTGCCAGGTAGGCTCAGACACTATTATTGCGTCTCTGGCTCGTATTGGTGCCGTGTCTGATGCGCTTTCTGCTCTCCGGCAGAGTTGGCCTGTACTCTGGCCGGGGGTTGGGAGTGCGTGGCCTCGGAGCCGTGCGCAATAATCCGCGCACCGCGTTGGGAACCCTCAGGTAGGCTGGCTCGTGTGTGTCTGGCGTGTCTCATGCGCTCTGTCGGGCTGCACATTATGTGACTCTGGTCTCTGTTTGCTGTTAGCAGCTATAAAGGTGGTTGGTTGGTGGCTATCTCTCCTGTTGCCTGTGACGCTGCGCCCTCACTCACGGGTATGTATGCGTGATTGTTTTAATCCATCTAATTGCAAGTCACGTATTAATTTTAGTCTGTATCACAGCAGGTGGCTCCTCCTCTGACGTGGGCCGCTGCGCTGCTGCTGCTGTTCTGTCCACCTGTTCTGTCTCGGGTTCACCCCAGCAAGCTTATTGTTCTCTTACATTTGTGTCTATTGTTTTTCGTTGTTTTGTTTTTTTTGACATCATCATTGTGTGTGTGCGCGGGTGTTTGGAGTTTCGCACGCCTGGAGTAAGTCAATCTGGATGAAACTCAAGTGTTGGCTGAACTGTATGCAGTGCTGCTCATGTGGAGGAAATGAATGCAGCATAGGACTTAAAGCTACACCAAGAGGACTGATCCACGTCAGCAATCTATTAGTATTGGTTGATTATTGTTTCTTTGTATTGTAATTAGATAATTATTTCGATCATTGGTGGATTTTGTGACCGTTGTTGTTTTCTGTAGATTTTTTTTTGTGTTTAGTTATCCAGTTATTTTTGCATAGGTTTTGGTTTCTTATTTTTTTTCGTTTATTATTTGTTTGTTATATCAACAAAAGCACAATCAACCTTGGTGGAGACCTCCTGGGCCCGGCATAGTGTGGTGTTGGGGCAGTTTCTGGCTTGGTTTTGTTTTTTTCTTGCCCCTTGCCTTGACTAATATCTGCCTCTTTTGTTGGACAGGAGCTGTTGGGCTGGTGTGGCGAGCGACTGACTGATTCCTGCGGTGGCGGTCCCCTCACTTCCTGTACAGTAGTGCACATGGGTGTCAGTTGATGGTGTGTGGTTTCTTTTTTTCTTCACGTGTGGTGTGCCTCATCAGGACCCTTCCCCTCCCCCTCAGTCGTCGCCGCCTGGTGAGCCCTCAGCCCCTTTACACAGCACATGCACTTTTTTTTTTGGCAAACTTAACCAACCTGTCAAGAGGCCCCAGAGGATTGTGCAATAATTTGCCTTTTGTTATTATTATTGTAATCTTGCTTGCATCATCACTGAGATTGGTCAGCATTTTAAATTTTGAAATATTGTTAATCAACTTTCTCTTTTATATTTTATTTGGAATCCGTCAGTCTCTGTGTCTCTCGTACCTGTGTGACCTTGTTTACAGTATTAGAGAGGCGTTTCCCCTCTGATATATTTCCTGGGAGTGAAATTCCCCTAGGTGGCGTTGTCGGACACTTATTAACAGAAATAAATAAATCCAACCCTCGTAGCACTGCTACATTCTCATGCACCAGTGAACAATAACACAAACCATCAGGAAAGCTTTCTGCTAGAGAAAAATAATCTTTCATTATGTAACAACTTTGTTTTGGTCACACTTCCTCTTAACTTTAGCTCTTTGTTTACATTCCTCACTTCTGTTTCTCTTCTAGTGCACTGAGCTTAAAGGGTAACTTTGATATTTTTAAACCAAGACCCTTTTTTTCCTAGATGGTGTGTCTAAGTGACAAGAAGGAATAAAAGTTTTTGAAATTGGTCCACTATTGAGTGAGAGGGTTGCATTTGGCAGCACTAAAACGGGCTGCAATATAATTACTTGGGGCAATTGCGCACCCCCAATGAATTTCCACTAAAAGTACTCGTTTTTGCCACAAACAGGCACAGATTGTTATTATAAGTGTCTAACAACATTATGGAAAGTATCCTTACAGAGATAGACCTTTGTTTGCCCCAAAACAACCCCAGCATTGCCATCTCCAAATCCACCAGACTTGCCAGCATATTTTCCACATCTAACAGGATGATTTAGGGGTTTAATTCAACCAAACCAGAATCAGTGATAGTTGGAACAGTGGAAAGACGAGGCAAAATGTTTTTTTTTTTTGTGGACTTGAATAAAGTCTGTGTTATGATAATAAAATTACTGTTGATTTAAATGGAGTCTGGTGGCTTTAGAGGTAGCCATTTTAAGGTTGTTTCTGGTTAAACACAAAGGACTTCACTCTTTAACAAATAAGGACTATCTCTGTGGTGAATCTTTTCATTATGTTGTCAGACACACTCAGAATATCAGTCTGAACCTGTCAGTGGCAAAAACAAGCACATTTAGTGGAAGTAAACTGACGATGCACAATTGCTGCAAGTGGTAATTGCAGCCTGATTCGCTGCTGCCAGCTGCATCAGTCTCACTAAAAACTGGACCAATTAAAAAACTGTTGTTGCCCTTTGTTACTTGGACACAGAAACATGAGAAAATGGAGTCCAGATTGAATAATACCAAAGATGCCCTTTAGCTGCCAATCAGAGTCATTTCGTTCACCAACGGGACTTGCCGATGCCAATTCAGTATGCTGGATTGACCAAAAAAAAAAAACAAAAAAAAAAACAGAGGCAACAAGGGGCAACATTGCCGACCATTAAATGCTGCCTTTAGAGTGAAATACATCATCTGTAGGGGATTTTAGTAGCCTAATATTAGACAGCATTGTCAGTATGTTATACTCCATTTCCATCTTCAGTCTAACATTGCATCCACATTTACCCAAATCACATTTTCCCAATCACTAGAGACCAATGTGCCCACCTAAATCTAAAGTCATTTAAGTCCACACTGATGTGTATTGCCATACCAGCAAGAGTGGAGTGAAGCAAAATCAAACTTTTTTGCTAGGCGATATTGAAAAGAAACATTGATTTAAAACAACCTCAATAGCAGCATTTATCTTGCTTATAGCAGTCACCATTGTCATTATTAGTCCTCATAGCAGGAGGAGCCATGGCCACCCTGAGACCGTTGCTGCCCAACCCCCACTGGTCCCCCTGGCGAAAATAATTGGAGACCAACATTACTGTCTATAAGAGGCTGTGGCGCACTCATTTTTAAAGCTATGTCAACATAGCTTGTCTGGTAGGGGGCTAAAATGGAATGTTTTCCAAGAAAAATTACCTTGCAGACAACAGTTGAGTAAATAAAATTTATATATATATATATATATATATATATATATATATATATAAAATCAATATCTATATGTAAAAAATGCACCAAATGTAAGATCGGGGGTTCGATCCCTGGCTCCTCCAATCCTCATGTCAAAGCATTCCTGGGCAAGATACTGAACCCCAAATTGCACTTGGTGGCTGTTTCATCAGTGTGTGAGTGCGTGTAAATGGTTACTGAGTAGCCCCTATGGCACCCTGTATGGCAGCCTCAGCCACCGGTGTGTGAAACAGTGTGTAAATGGGTGAATGTGACTTGTAGTGTACAAAGCGCTTTCAGTGGCCAAGAAGACTACAAAGGCACTATACAAGTGCAGTCCATTTACCATTTACTATCCTTCTTACTGTATTTTATGAAGGAAGCTGGATGCCAGTCAGTAATATTTATTGTTTCTACCAGCTTGCTGCTCTTCCTCTTTCTAAGACAGCATTATATGACAATGAAATTACTTCTGCTTTTTAATTTTTTCAGCATAGCTGTAGAATCCAAACGAAGAGCTGTAGCTGCTCCTCACACTGCACAGGATGCTTAGGACCATACCAAGTAACCTGATCCTGGGAAAGTGACAGTTGAAGGGCCTGTCCTAACAGACAAGTACATATCTCTGTGGCCCCTTGACTTTACCAAATATTCTGCAACAGTTCCTCCAGTTGTTGCTGTAGTGAACAAAATAGTGATTGAAAGTTTCCTGTAATTTCCTCTGATCTCAGTAACCTCTGTCAGCTGGGAGTTTGTTTAAAGGGACAATTTACACTGAAATCAAAACTACATATTTTTCATCTTACCTGTAGTGCTATTTATCAGTCTAGATTGTTTTGGTGTGAGTTGCTGAGTGTTGGAGATATCGGCCGTAGAGACATCTGCCTTCTCTCCAATATAATGGACCTAGATGGCACTTGGCTTTTTGGTGCTTAAAGCGCCAAAGAAATACATTTGAAAAACTCTTTCCAGAAATTATGACCTGATTACTCAGGATAATCCACAGTTGTTGTGAGCAACTGGCAACCTCCAAGGCTGAAAAAAAAGGAGTCAGTGCAGAAGTGCCAAAAACTGCAGTTCCTCTAAAGGCCATTAGAGGCTGGCTCCAAGAGCAAGTCAATCTCCATAGACCCCCATGTTAAAATGCCCAATGTTACAACAGAAATAATTATGTTTACAGCTTGGTACAAGAAACTGTTTTGGTCTGTGTAGGTAATTTCAACATATATAACAACTGAGTGAGAGATTATTTTTTATATATAGCTTACCCATTTACATTGTATTAAGGCTGAAAGTTATGCATATTTAAAGGGGAATTTCGGTTTATTTCAACCTGTCTCCTATCGTCCTAAATTTGTTTCAAGTGACTAGTGACATAAAAATAATAGTTAGCATGTTAGCCATTAGCCTAGATACAGCCGGGCACATAGTAGCGTCAGACCTGTTAAAACGTAAATGAACGGGCATACTTGGGGTTTAATTAAAATTATTTTCCCTGCTTCTTAACAGTGAGATGGATAAGTCAGTTTACAAAGAACCTGGGTACAAATCCTAGTCATCTCAGGATAGTTTTTGAGAGCATAAATAGAGAGATGTTGAGTTTTTTAATTGATGATCAGTAAGTGTGTGCTCGTGTATCACTCCTTAAACCTGTCAAAAACTGCTGGAGAAATGACAGTTTATAAGTGTGCAGAAATAATTTATTAGTTGAAGAAAAAAAAAGGTTGTAAATTTTTATACAACCTGTTAACTTGATTCTAATTTCTATTATGTCGTGTTGTTGCAAATGAAAATTACATCACTTCCTATGTGAGGCAATGGTGCTTGAGAAATAATGGCTACAAGAATATGTTGATTTCAAACAAATCCTATGCGTAACTACAAGGGCGATGTTGAAAGACTGGGGGAGGACAGAAGTCAGTAAAGTCCTGTATTGAAGCTGCAAACACAAAAAGTGAAATGAAACTTAAGAATAGTTATGAAAGCTTTTCTTTTTTTCTTGCAGATAAATTCCTCCAGAAATCCTCCAGGGATTTCTGATCACCACACTGAACTTCCATGCACAGCAGAAACACTCCAATGTGTTGTTTGTCAGTTGATTTGATTGACACAGAGAGTTACACATAGTCAGTTTACCTTGTGACTTCATACCACAGCAGATCATTTCATGCCACTTTGATTTGGGTAATAAATTTACTTGTGACACTTTACGGTGTTGGGTCATATCTATTTTTAGATGTGTTGTTTTCACTAGTTTTCTTCTGATTAAGCAGCTACCCACAGTCTGACACCGGCACACTGTGAGGTTGGAAACAGAGAGCTCGGCGGGGACGGAGCACGTGCTGCAGCCATTGAACATGCCATCTGTATTCATTTTGACTTGACCAGCGAACTTCACTACAAGCCAATTGGCTGTTGAAACAGGTGACATGCTTTATGTTCTAAAACTGGCTGCCGTCAATTTGACCAGTGGAGTTGCAGGTGACACCATCAGCTGGCTTGAGTCGAGCTCAGACCAGCCAGTTCACACCGCTGTTGTTTTCCTTCAGCTGTGGTAGGTTCTAGTGAATACCATTAGAAGCACTATGATGAGGCAGAGGAATATGACTTTTTTCACAGATCATCTGTCTTATGTACTACTGTCAAGATATAGTAACAGTTTCAGCAATTCTGACAGAAAGATAGTTTTATTAAGGTTACCAACTACAGTTTTAAAACTCAAGTGTGTAGGATTTAGGGGGATGTATTGGCAGAAATGGAATATGATATAATAAGTAGGCTTTCTTTAGTGGATGATTACCTGAAATTAAGAATTGTTGTGTTTTTATTACCTTAAAGTGGGCCGTTTATAACTACGTAGGGAGCAGGGTCTCATCTACGGAGATCACCATGTTGTACCACCATGTTTCTACAGTAGCCCTGAAAGGCGAAACCAAGCATTGGCTCTAGATAGGGCCGTTCCCATTTATGCATTGGCCAAAATTGTAAGCAGCCCCTTCACAACGACATCATTGGAAAAACACTGATATTTTACCTTCCAATTACTTTTTTTTTCTCTGTGTTAGACCAGTTTAAATCACTGGGTCTGTTTCCTTGGAGACAAAGAGAGCTCTGTGGATAATTTGCCTCTCCCTGTCTTGACTTTAAGTTATCAGAGAAAAAAGGTGAGCACATACTAGCAGTCGTTAGGCTAACAACCCATCTCTGACATGCAAAACAGGGTCAGAGAAACACTGATTTGTTTTATGAAACTGCTTCATTCAGTGTTTTTACCAGTCTAAATCAGCTGCTCTG